AAATTTTGAACAAAATTTTTGGCCAAAAACAATACTGTAATACATATTCGCCAGACATGCCTCTGTCTGACAAGCGCATCGCTGAAAGACCTAAAGGCTATCCCAAAGATCGAGTTTTAGAAGTGTTTCGAGTATTGAAAGAAGAGCTGGCACATGTGCATAATATCTAATGGGGACTATTTTGAAGGCGACAACATTAATGTAGACGAATAAATAAATATTTGTTTCAAAAAACGAAAATTCCCGATATTTTCTGAACACACCTCTTATACCAATACAAAATTATAATACAATTTGAGTAATCTTCCGAGACATGTTGGGAAATCTACTAAGATAAGTTGTAATTTTACAAACTATATGTATAAATCCTACACGCATTAATACTTTTTATTAGAAACTGTCAAACTGTTTAGTTAAGTTAACATTGTTGGCATCTTCATTAGTTACACTTCGCTTCTAAGGATGCCAACATCGTTGGCGAAAAGTAACTTTAAGCACTTTGTGTTTTGTTTTGGTGTTGGGGAATATTTTTAATATTTGTTTAACATATCAGCAAAGTTGTGATCACCAATATTTGGCTGCAAATCTGAGAATCCCAGAAATTAAACTTAACTTTTGGGAATTTCCCCATAAGATCTGTACACAATTTAATGTGGCGTAGCAGTTTTAGCATTTTTAAAACTCGTATATCAATTGATTTTTATTTTGCAGATAAAATGGCTGTAAACATCACTGACAACACCACCCACGAAACAATTTTGGATCCCTTTAATGAAGAAGCACCAGCAATGCCAGCTGTATGGTCTGCCATAGTTATATTAATCTTACTTCTTAAATTTATTGTAGGAATTGTCGGTTTGGCCACAAATATATTTTTGGTTATAACAATTCTAAGGTTTAAGAAACTTAAAACAAGAATAAATTCATTTATATTAAGCATAACCATACTCAATATAATTCAATACATTGCAACGCCAATTTCTGAAATTGTCTTTATTTTTGTTAAAGATTACGATATTGCTTTGAATGTTTTTATATTGTTAGATTTTTTGGAAGTCACCTGCATTTTCTTTACTTATGTGATTGCTGTAGCCATGGCTTTAGATTGGTTTATGATGACTTTCAAACAAAACTGGATATTGAGGACGAAACCACTTTATAAATACGAACTTTTGATTTTACATATGCTTGCATTATTATGGTGGGCAATTCAAATATATCTTCATTATGAATTCAATATATATATTGAAATTATTACATACATAATTGGATATTGCATAATAGTATTTATATTATTGTTTATTAATATCTATATTAAACTACACGAAATTCCTTATGAATGTACCAAAACTAAATACTCGATCACAGTAGCTAATATTTTATTACTATGTTACCTACCAGAATTTATAAAATGTTTACTACTAATTAAAGGTTTTAATAGTATAATAATAATGTTTCGATGTATTGAAGCCATTTCCATTTTAAGTGTATACGCAAGTCCTATTATTTTAGTTTCTTACTTAGGATGTAGCAATAAGTATTTCAAAATGGCTTTCGATAAAAGTTTTAAGAAAAATGTTCAGACCTATGATACTGATAACTTAGATGATCCAGAAGATTCGGAAAGATGTTGACCTTAATGTTTATGTGATATAAAATTAGACTTGCTTGTTATGCTAATGATGACACTGGCAAAATCAATTTTTTGCCTTAATATATTATTATTTTATAAAATGTAATTTTTACTTAAGGAGATTCGGGCATTACATTGCATTTTGTAATTATTTTGTATTTTAAAATTAAAGGCACCATATACATATATATTTTAACACAGGAACGAAAAAAATACAATTTGAACGCGAGTTGTTTATAGTTGGTTTCTATGGTAACGCTTTTAGCTTTTGACAGTTGCAGTGACATTTCTTTATGCAGTGCTATGTAAAATCTTAAAATGAGTTGCGAAAACGAATTATTATGTTCTGTGTCCACTACAAAGAAAAAATTATTAAAAAAAGGTATTGGAACCAAAAAAGCAACAGAGCAGTATGAGCAGAAAACAAATATAAGACAACTATAAAAGCATTGCCTAATTATTTAAAAAATAATAACAAAACAATTGTGTTTTTTTTAATAATTTCCTTTATAAACGAAATTATGGTAGTCAGCAAATAATTCAAACCAAATGTCTCTAGATAATCACGTGTTTGTAATGCAATGTTGCCGGATCATCTAGACGAAAATGACAAATTAATAATTTTTGTTGGACACATTCAACATTATCGTTTATTATTAGTGCATTAATTTTTTAATTTCACGTTAGAAGATATGCATTAATTGATTAATATGAATTTAATTAACTTATATCTTATAACATGACAACAAGAAATTGATAATTTTTTTTATAGTATGCACTTTTAGCTGTAGAATTAGCATACACATTTTTGCCAACATTCACAACACAGTTTAGCAATAATAAACGATAACATCCTGTGTAGTCTTAGCAACTTTAATAATTTTTTACTCTGAAACCAGACGGTCAGTTTCTAAAACTTTGTGAATGTATTCTAAGTATACTCTACTACAACCTAAATTTTTTTTAACATATACATTAATATCGTGCCCAAATCTCCTAAGTAGTTGAAGATGTTAAAATTATAAAATAAAAATTATTAATTAATTCATAAATTATATTTAAATTAGGACCCTATACCCATGTGATTGTTTTTTATATTTATTATAACTTTATTTTGAAAATTTGTTTTTTTACCCAATTATTTTCTAATAGGAATAAAAAAAAATTATGTCGACAATTTTTAATATTATTTAACATTTTCAGTGTAAAATATTTCAAATGTCACATAAGTGATTTGGACATTTTGAAGTGCCTACATGTCCGGTCTTTAAATATCATTCACAATAATTTAAGGACCTTACCTTATATCTTTGACTTTGAAGTATCGCTGAAAGTTTGGGGCGTAGTTGTTTAAAATAATAAATTTTTACCGGGGCTTACATAACTTTTACTAGACTAGAAAAGGCGGTTCTAACGATGTATCAAATTACTTTTGGAACAAACTCATGAATACATTATGTAGTCTGCCACCCACCTACTCGTGAAATTATTTGTTAATAGTTGCCGAATCTTTGGATCTTCTTGTCAAAGGTAGGATATATTATTTATTAATTAATTAATTTTTTCTACTCCCACCTTTAAAACGCATATTATCGTACATGTTTCCATTACACCAAGTGACCTTTGTAATACACATTGACAAGTTGTGGCTTTATGGCGCTTTAGTCATGGGTTTAAGTTAGTTTGAAGTTAGTTGACAGTTGTCAAATGTCATACAATCGTTAAAATAAAGTGATTTTTTTTTAAAATAGTAGTAAATGTAAAAATTATATTATTATCTCAATAAAAAACTACAATAGTTATTTGTTTTACAAGTGTTGAAAAGCGACTTTTTCATGCGAGTGTTTAAGTTGCACACAAGGCCTTCAGGCCGGGTGTGCATTAACACGAGCTTGAAGAAAGCTTTTCTTACAAGTAAAACACAATGTTTTTTCTACGACCATTTTATTTTTTATTATATTCAAATACAAAACAAAATAACCTAAAAACGTGTTTAACAGCTGTTAAAATTACTTTCATCTTATTCTTTTAATTTTTAAGGTATAAGTTACTTAAAATCAATAAACTTACCTTCTCAAATTAAATAAAGGCACTAAAAATTAGAATTTATTATACAAACACAATTAATTGTGTTCTAAATTATATTTAAACATAAATATACAAATACAATACAAATTTTGAAACGAATGTCACGATGCTGCCAATTTCTTTTCATACAGACCTGTCACTTTTCACACAGAAATGTCACTTTACATTCGTGTTTTGCCTTGCCAATGAAAAGATTCATTTTCTAAGCAACGATGCCAATACGAAATGTGACTTTTACATAGTGGTCGTAGAAAAAAGTATTAAATAGTTTCTTGACACCAATATTTGAAAAGTTTATATGAACGTTTATACTGACCTTCGCCGTAGTAGTGCAGTTAACTAGATTTACCTAATAAAGCGTTAAAAATTTTGCGCACAGTGCCCATAAAACATTCTCTTCTCTTTTACTGTGAAAAAGGATTCTTAGTCTATTTTTAAGGAATAAATTTTGATTTAAACAAAAAAATGTAAGATTTTAACGCTGGTAGATTCCCAAGTTAGAAATTCTAACGGGAATTCCAATAAATACAACTGTCACTTTTTGTACCTTTAACATTTCCCGTGTATGAACTTTTAATACTTTGTGATAATAATTTGCAATTATAGTAATAAAAAAATCAAAGGATAACATATATTCTTAACATAATTATATTTTAAAGTATCAATAATTGTAAGGTTTAATTAAAATAATAACGGGCAATGTTAATGTTGAAAATTACGTCAAAAATGTTTGTTGGAAAGGTTAATTTATTGTCGAATAGATGTCGTTTTATACAAATATTTAACTTAAATTATTTTTTAGATATTATTAATTATTTGTTGTAGAAAAAGTATATTATTAATTAAATTAAATTCGTGACTAAAATGGCGTTTATCAAACTTAATACATAATATACTATTATAGCAATGATATAATATCATTATTATATATTTAGAATATTCATTCCGATACTCATAAAACATCATAAGAGCTAACATTAATGTTTTATACTTCGACTATTTGTTAAAGCTTCGTATCTAGTTAGTTTCTAAAAATAATGTTATTAAAGATAACGGTAAATAATCAGCAGCCACTTGTGACTTATAGACCAAACACTGGGTTTAATATTAAAGTGGCGTATCATACGTTTAACAATTAATATAAAAAGAATATTATTTGTGTCAAATTTTAACAATTATTACCAAAATTATACCTAAAACACATTTTTTGGGTTAATTTTTTTATTTAGTCTTCTTTTAGATAAAGCGTTTCTGAACTTTTACTATAAGTTAAAAAACTATGGAGTCCTACTACGACTATGATACTTCAACATTAAGGTTAGTTATACTTAACATATAGGATAAATAAATATACATTTTTTTAGTAATTTGGAAGACTACTACGAAGAACAAAACTATACTTTAGTAAATGAAGATCCTTTCGAGAACTGGTATCCTAATCATCACTACTTTACAGTCATGAACGTAATGGAGTTTATTTTGAAAGTTGCTACATTTTTCATCAACATTTTTATTGTTGGTTGCTTCTTTAAATATTCGGCTTTGAGGACTAGAGAGTTAATGTTTATACTAAATTTTACTATATTAAATATATTGTATATTTCGTATGAATTTATATTAACTGATATATCGAGCTCGTGGTATCCATACTATTGTGAAATCAGCCATATTTCTTTCTACTTGTTTTTAATGAATTATTTAATGTTAGGATTGGTAAATGTACATTGGTATATTGTGAATTTTAAGGAAAATTTGATAACAAAGTACAGCAGGGTATACCAACATTTTTTTGCAATAATATACGGTATATCCTTTATAATATTTGCGGGAACTTTTTCTATTTGTTATAGTAATATTGCGTATGTTATAGGTTTACAAATAATTTTGTGGTTTATTGCAATAACATCAGTAGCTATACATTATATAGGAAGAAACAAGTTATCACTAAAGAATTCATACATACCAAGAGCTTCAATTATTGCAATGTCATTATGGTTACCAATGTTAATTAACCATATTCTTATACAGATTTTACACACTAAACATTTTCTCCTCAACTTTGCAATTCATATGGCATACTTTACCAATAATTTATTCATTTGTAGCCCACTTGTCATAATTTATTTTTTGACCAAGCACAATAAGTATTTTAATAATGCCCTTACAACTTTTTGTGGAATACGTAAGAAAGAAGGAGAGGTTCTGGAAAACGAAGATGATTACGAAGAAGTTATGATTCAAACCCCACAGTTCAATGGAAATGTTTAGTTAAGTATTCTGCCGTTTGTTTTAAAAAGTGTTTTCATTCGTATGCACGTAATGATGTACCTAGTAGCTACTTATGTATAATGATGAAAATTATTTGGTCTATAATTAAGAAATTGTGCAATTATACAACTCAGATACAAAACAAGTAGAATGTAATCGTGTTTGTAAAATACAAGTTCATCTTAATTTATGTATTTTTTATTTTTTAATACCTAATGGTCGTTAATATAAATTAAATTTGAAAATTTGAGAAGGTAAGTTTAATTTACTTTATATATTTTGCGTTCATAATGACTTCATTGTAACACCGCTTTTGGTGCAGAAATAAGGTACTTTACCCCACCCAAAATTTTGATTTTATAGGTTGGCTACTTTAAACAGCATACTAGTAAAATAATATTTTGCATATTGGTTATAATATATTTATGATTTTTATAGTACTTACGCGACTTTTCTGATAATAAATTTTGTTTAACACCAAAGAAAATCCTTTGTTTTTCTTTAATTAATATTAGCTTATTGTAAATAAGTAAATTAAGGACGCCATGGCGAATCGATTTTGACATTAACCCTTCAAACCAATGACTGTGATACCAACTATCTAAAGTAAAATTCGACCAAATTAAATATAAGCTATAAAATTAATTTTTTTATAGAGTTTTTGCAAAATAGATAAAATAGCACAAAGAACTCCTGTCATAAGACCTTTTGACGCACGAGGACAATTTATAAAACGAGCGAGTTTTGTAATGGACAAAATGACGTCTTATGACATTAGTTCTTTAACATACTATTATTTATTTTATTTATTAATATAAATTTACTGAATATTTCACTTGTTTTTGCACTGATAAAAGTAACACTAAATTAACCTCACTTAGTTTGACAGTTTGCAATTACCTAAGGTACACTGTTTTATGACCACTTGCACCGTAAGTTTAACAGTGGTTTTATTTTTAACAGAGGTTTATTTTGTATAACTGGCTTTTACCGTAAATTAATCCTTGTTTAAATACCTCTAAACTATTGTTAAAATAAACCCCCAATTTCGGTGGTTTAAATTACTTTAATCCACCGTTAAAGATTTATAACCTTAAAAGTACTAGTAATCGGTATTCAAGATCTTTTTTTTCAAAGATATTCTTTATTGACATATTTAGCAAATCCAATAACTATAGTTATAGGTATAGAGGTCAGCAACTCTATAATGAGTCACTACTAAGAACCAGAAATATAATAGAAAGAGTATTTGGAATTTGGAAAAAAGGTTTCCAGTGTTGGCATATGGCTTAAGATTAAAACTAGATACAGTTTTGTCCATTATTCCAACTGCAGCTGTACTACATAATATTGCTAGAGACATGAATAAACCAGAGCCGCCATTGCCTGATGATATTAATGCCATGGAGTACCCTGTTGTTACTCATCTACAAGATGTTTCAAAATCAATTAATACAAGATTATGTTGCGAATTTATTTAGTTTATACTTTATTGATTGTTTCGCTACACGGTAGCTTCTTCAGAATTGGTACAAAACGACAACTAAACATTTTCTTGAATTTTATAAATAACTTACACCCGAACATTAAATTCACAATGGAAGAAGAAATAAATAACTCTCTTAATTATTTAGATCTAACAATCCAAAAAAATAATAGACACCACACATTCAAAATTTTTCACAAACCCAGCTACACTGATATAGATATACATAAAAGTTCTTCTCACCCCTTTTCACATAAAATAGCCGCATTTAACTCTATGGTCCACAGACTCTTAAACGTTCCATTATCAGAAAAATATTATAATTACGAAAAAAAAAACAAAAAATAGCTATCAACAACGTTTTTCCAACATCTAAGATTACCATGAATACATATAATAGTTGTACATATCTAGGTGCTAAGATGAGACATGTATCTAATATCTTTAATAAAATCAATAGTAATTTAGCATTTAAAACCAACAACAATCTTAGTAAGTTTATCAAAAACAACAAAGATAAAACATCAAAATCTTCAAAATCCGGCGTTTACCAACTAACCTGCAGAGACTGTCCGAAAACATATATAGGCCAAACGGGTAGAAATTTTAATACACGAATTAAAGAACACAAGATATCCTATATAAACCTTAAACAGGATTTTTCATACGCTAACCATTTAATACAAGAAAACCACACATTTGATGATAACTTTAAAATATTACATGTAGTCAATAAAGGTACCAAACTAAGTCTTTGGAAATTAATAAACTAAAGAAAAAATCTGATATTGTTCTTAATGACCAAATTAAAACTAACAGCTCGCCTCTGTTAAATTTATTTTAGAGTGAATACTTGTAGTACTAAAAAATAATATTTATTAATACCTATTATAATATTATATTAGATTGGACTTTCCAAACCCTTAGTTTTTCCAAAATTATGTAAGTTTTATTAATACCTTCAGGTATAATGTTTATACAACATTTATTTTCTCAAATTACCTGCCATTTGTTAATATAAATACCGCCACTTGATAAAATATGTACCAATTCTGAAGAAGCTACTGTGCATAGACTATGCTACTGTGTAGCGAAACAATTGTTAATCATTAAAAACATAAATAAATTAGTGAAACTTTAAAACAGTGTTGTTTTTATTCATATATTATTTTATACTTATTTAAAATTAAAATAAATTAAAATTTTTTAATCCGAAAAAGTAATTTCTTTTTCATCATTTTTATTGTTAATTTCCTGCTCTAATTGTTTTAGCCCTATCTTTGTTTTCAATAATACCCTTGTATCCACAAGATTAATTAAATGATTTTTTTCATTTTCTGAAAAATTTGAGACGCGCCCCATTTTTTTTCATTTTCTGAAAAATTTGAGACGCGCCCCATTTTTTTTCAGGTTCTGTATCCATATTATTCTCTCTTACCATCAACTGAATCGGTCGTACATGAAATGGAATCGAAGCACAGATTATAAAGAATCGAACTCTTAACGTCAAAATATATTTGCGTCACAAATAAGTGTGAAGTTACTTATTAGCACCAATCTTTTCCATTTTTTAGTCAAATTCCCTAGATCACTAGTAAAATTATTTTAAACCATATTAAAAAAATCAAGGTGCAAGATTTTGGACACTAATCTCCTGTTACCTTTTAACTTGTCAGTTTATTTAACTGATCAGTTTTAGAAAAAGGTGCAAGTGGCCATTAAAGGCAGAAATGTTCACAAATTTTAGGAACTTCTTTAATTTTGCACCCTGTATATGTTAAAATAAAAATGTCTACCATAGCACATGTCAAAAAAATCATCAAAATGAAATGTATATTTAGGTGGTACAAAATAATTATGTATTATATTTTTAAGATGGATTTGGATGATCAGTCAAACTTGGTGCTGCCGGAAAAAGAAATACACAGAATTCTACTGGACGCCCTGGGATTTATTTTAAGAGCCATTACGTGCCTTGCTGATATATTTATTATTTATACATTTTTAATTTATTCTTCTGTACGAAAACGATTGCTCTTATACATTTTAAATTATGCCATACTTAATTTAATGTATATTACATATCATTCTTTGGCTACAGAATTTTTGATTTCATTAAGCAAGAGTTCTGAATATATTTGTATTTTAGCTAAATTATCAAATTATTTTTTGATTATGAGCCTACTAATGTTGTTTATAATGAATATAAATTGGTACCTGCTAAATTTTCAAAAAACATTAATTTCGTCCTATAAAAATATATACAAATATATATTTATTATTATGTACGGAGTATCAATGATTATTTGGCCATTTTCAACAGCGTTGTGTTATTATAATTTTGACATAAAAAAAATCGCATTTAAAATCACAATGGCAACCATATTCATCAACACAATAATATTCTACTTTAAAGGAAAAAAGAGATCTGTGAACTCAATAAAATATCCGTACATACTAAAAATATCGACATGCAATTTGTCATGGGTGCCCATTTTTATTCATCAAAATGTTTTGGATATTTGTGAAGGGTTTGGTTTTAATCAATGTCATCAAGTTTTAATGAGTTATGTATATGTTTCCCTGAACCTGACATACTTAAACTCTTTAATTGCTGTTTATTATTTAATAAAATATAATAAATATTTTAAAACGGCTCTTAAAAAGATTATAGGAAAGTAGGGATGTAGAAAGATATTAAACAGTTTTTTACTTTTTATTAAATACCATACAACATATATTTTTTTCTACTCCCACCTTTAAAACGCCATTTATCGTACATGTTTCCATGACACCAAGTGACCTTTTAAATACACATTGACAAGTTGTGGCTTTATGGCGCTTTAGTCACGGGCTGAAGTTAGCAACAGGTTTTTAGTCACGGGCTGAAGTTAGTTTTAAGTTAGTTGACAGTTGTCAAATGTCATACAATCGTTAAAATAAAGTGCCTTTCTTGTAAAATAATACTAAATGTGAAAATTATTTTATTACCTCAATACAAAAGTATTAAATAGTTTCTCAACGCCAATATTTGGAAAGTTTATATGAACATTGTACTGACCTTTTAATTTCGCCGGCAAACTATAACTTAAATTCGAGCACAGTCTCCACTGTAAAGTGCTCATAAAACATTTTCTTTACTTTCACTGTGAAAAACTGTCAATTTTCAAGAAATAGATTTTGATTTATAACCTTTATAATCTGTGTTTATAAATTTAAACATTTGACATTTGACGGTGACACACAGATTCCCCTATTGTTTCATAGATGGCGCTCTATACAAATTTTTGATTTAAATCATTTTAAGATAATAATAAGTATTTGTCGTAGAAAAAGTATAGTATGCACCTCGTTTATAAACTTTTCTATACACTCATTAATTTAAGCACTCGCTCGCAAGCTCGCTCGTGCCTAAATTAAATTCGTGTATAAAATGGCGTTTATCAAACTTGATACATAATATACTATTGTCTACAGTGTGATTAAAAATGTCGGACCATCGCCCAGTGTAACC